GTGTTTAAATAAAGTTGATTGATTGATTGATTGATATTTCTCCTCAAATTGAACAAGATTATATACAAATGTACGGAAAAGAAGGGTAAATGTAAATTGAACTAATACCTTGTCCTGATAGTTAGAGAAAAATTCTTAATGAAAAAAATAACTAGTTGAAAGACGCACATACACGTGAAAACAATTTGTATTTAAAGTATTGTTAGACAAAGCAACTACAATGGGCAACAAAATTGTCGAGACACTATCCTCAAATGGGGTTGTTCTTAGGAGAACAAAGCAAACTACGCCCCTCCCCCCACCCCCCCTCCATTTAGAGTTGAGGTATTTTTGTTCCTTACACAATGTGAGAGGTAGCACGTTTAACAGCGGCGGCACAACATTGTTGGAGGGTGTGGAGGAAACTTTGTTTGGATATTTTTTGTTTCTCCGTCTTTATACTGTTTTGGGGCAAAGGGCATAGTTTTTCTCAAGGAAAAGAATCATCTGGTTGCTGAAATCCGTTTAAAATGAAAACGTACTTCGTATAATGCTCACAGCGGACTGTCGAATGGGTTTCATCTTCCAGCAATAAATCAGAGGATTGAGGCATGCATTCAGGTAAATAAACAAGTCACTAATAAGTCTTAAAATCTGCGATGGAGGGTTTGCAGGTGATATTACCTTTACAGCCGTTATACATAGGCTTGGCAGATAGCAAACCATAAGAACAAGGTACACACCGAGTGTCATAGTTGCAGCCTTTCTTTGCCTTCTTGCGTTAAGAGCTAACTCTTCTACATTCTCTTCTCCTCGAGGTGTATTTAGGGTAATAATTTGATTTGCCTGGCGTTTTACGGCTAAATATATCTTCAAGTAAAATACCCCTGTAACCAATAAGCAAGCAATCGCAACAAATGCAATTATTGAGAAGGTTATCTTTGCGTCGCGCAGCACAGGGAACGAAATACATGCACTGAAGACCCACATTGATATCACTCCAACAGTCACGCGGTTATGAGTCACAAGCTCCTCGTATCTGAGATGAACATGAATTGCCAGGAATCTGTCAGCAGCTAGAGCTGCAACACCAAGAAACGAAGTAACACAAAGAGTGTTCATAATGACCAAGTAGGCTCTCGCCACGTTTGGTACCTGTATGTTCATGTGTAGCGTTGCATGTATAGCAATATACAGTGGTTGCACAAGTAGACCGACACCAGCATCAGACACTGCAAGACTTAGAAGCAGCGTCTTGAAGTTTCTTGGTAACACAAAGGTTCTTCGGAGCGCTAATATCGTTACAATGTTCAACACCATGATTGCAAAGAATAAGAAGCTAGAGCAGATGTATGCAGTGATGTGGACAGCCGACTTTTCATCCATATTTTATTTTTAGGAGTTGTCGAAGTAGGATCAAGCTTCTCTAACTTGAATTTTTTTCTTCAGCTGGAACTTGGCCGATGGTTTTGAGATAAGAAATACACTTGATTAAAGTTTCCTCGGCATGGTTTAGAACTTTCCTCCAAGCCAGATGATTACAGAGAGGCTAAAATGTTTCCGTTTGATAAGTTTCGTAAAGTCGTGGTTTACAGAGTTCTTTTCTGATCAACTGGAATGGATTGAATAAATGAACTGTTGAAAAACCAAAAAAGTTTTAAGTTTGTACAAGGGAACATAACAAAAACGTGCAACTTGTTCGTGCAACATTACTGCAAAACGAGTTGAAAAAGGATGTTGCGCGTTTTACCACCCTCATTCAAGCCTCTTAAAAGGGCTGTGTCACGGCAGTCCAGTTCGGTTTGTTTAATTTTGCCAATTACAGTCGACTCCCGGTAACTCGAACCCTCTATAACTCGAACCTTCCGTTAACTCGAAGTTATTTTCAATTTTCTTCAGATCATTTTCCATATAATTTTACCCTTGATAACTCGAACTCCCGATAACTCGAACCTTTTTCCTTTTTCCCCTGAAGGTTCGAATTATCGGGAGTCGACTGTACTCGCCCTCAATCGCTATGGAACTTAAAGTAAGCAAAGAAATGACATGTAAATGATAAAATCAGAGATCCGAGACAAACCTGAAATATATCTCCTGAGCATTATTTTTGAAGTTGCAAGCAGCAGGGATCAACTTTGAAAAACTGTTAGGCTGAACAGTTTTCAAAAACCCTAATTCATATCCGTTTCAATCTTCTTCAGTTTTTCCTATCCGTGGCATCTGTTGCTTCTGTTATGTAATTTTAACCTTCCTTTAAAGGTTTAAAAAGTTATTTTTATGTTTCTCTTAATTCAACGTGCAATTTGTAATTTCCTAATTTGGCTAAATTTCGTGACACAGCTCATTTAATTAACGGGTACCTACTTTGTTGCAAGACAGGTTTGATGTGGGTGGCAAAACTCGCAACATTGCTATGAAACTCATTTTGCAGCAATGTTGCAAGGCATGTTGCGTGTTTGTTGCCCGTTTTACTGTACCTTAAGTCAGCGCCATAAGCGCTTGAGACTGCCACGGGCTAATTTACATCTTTTTTTTCCCGATGCATGTCTGGCATGCGACAAAGAAAAACCTGACTGAGTTCATGGAAAAAATGAACGCATCAAGGGAGGTTTTAACAAGGACTTGTAGCCTAACCAATCACGGAGCAGCGGAAAATGTGTCAAAAGACAGCTAAAATGTAAACCATTATGAAAGAATTTAGTTACACTCACGAAACTTAAAGCCTCACGACAGTTGACCACAAAAAGCAACGAAAAATCTGTGCCACAGATCATAAACCCTGGGCCGTAAAAACATCCCAAACAGTTGGCGAATTCTTTATTGCCCTATCTTCCATGACTTACCTATATGCAGAGTCTGTCTCAGCGCCATCAGGCAGTGCCTGCGGCATTGTGTTATATTATATGCGCGCGCCGGTTTTCCCTCGGTACGAGCGATTTCGTTTACATTAAAGCTGTTAGTGTTCTTCGTTGTGATGATCCTGTCTCTTCAACATTGGCGCAGGTGCTATTTTGATTCAAAAGAGGAAAGACTCAAACTGAGGCCTAGAGGTGAGGAGTTGGAAGACTGGGACCGAGCAAAAACGATCGCTCATCGATTTCCGATATTAAAAAAGTGGAAGTTCACTAATCATATCCTGAACTCGGACACGTGATTTCGAGTTTTTGATAGTCAGCAAAATCTTGGCCAGACAGTGGGGGAAATTCAGTTCAATCTTCGATCGTCTGTGATTTTCTCGACACATAAAAACCAGGCTAAAGTAGCTTAACTAGTTAGTGTCTTTTTTGCTAAAGGTAAGTACGTTCAAGCACAGGTGACCCAAGCTCGAAATTTCAGCCCTAGCAGTGTTGTGTAAACTTCAAAGTATGATGATTTGTATAAGGAAAAACAGTTCTTGCCAATGGCTGAAGGTATGAAAGAAAACTTATTTCTTAAATAGCTCACCTCACTTTCCCTGTATGTTGCTTGTTTCTCTGTAATATCTTTTTGAGAAAAGGTTACGTAACATACACAATGCCAATGATCAAATTTCGAGCTGTGGGTGCCTGTAGTTCAAGTTTGCTCAAGGCAAACGCTGCATCTTAAATCTATAATGATCAAACGCCTTTAAAAGTAGAACTCGATAGAACGAAAGTTTTATTTCAAACCACGTTCCCTCACTTTTACAAATAACACCTGCTTTATTCAAATGTGCCACTTAGAAGAACACAAATTGCCTGACTCACTTAAGAGCTGAATTTTATAGATAAAAAAAGTTTGCCCAGCACGTTTCATGAATTAATTTGTCTTAAGGGCATATGTCCGGCTTTCACGTCTTTTGTGGTCTTTTAAAGCCTTACAACGCGCCACGTCAAAAGATAACCTCAGATGCGCCAACCATTTATTGATCTACACGGTTTGCAGATCACGCGCTAACTTTATGCGAGTGGTTTTAAAGTCCATCATTTTATACTAATAACATTAAATCGTTCGATTTTCAGACCGAACTGAAAGTTTCGGTAAAGTCGTCCATATCGCGTGAGCAAATTGGTAAGTGCTATAAAAGCCTAGGCTGACATGTCAATTTTTGAAGAATTGTTACTCCATCACGTAGTACTTCAATCAATAAAATATTCTCCTAAGACAACTAGAGAGGTATTATTCTGTAAAAGCGCGATCTTTAGAAAAAAAATAAACATTTGAATCCAGGAAGGAGCTATCTTTGCCCAATATTTAAAGACGCTATTTGAATACTGAAACAAAATTTTCATCAAACTATTACTTCTTGTAGTGTTTACAAAGGGCATGGCCTTTCTATAAGCTGAGGTCAGCTTGAAAATAACAAGTGAGCAGAATATATAATTAGGTAATCCTGTTTGCGATCAAGAAAGCTATCTTGAAATATCACTAAGGGGAGTGTTCCCATCGAAGCTAACCTAGCTGAAACGACTCAATTTTCTTAGTCCGTTTGAAACACTTTTAACTTAATTTTAAATGTTTGGATTTTCTCCGGTTAAGCCAGAATAATATTGTTTGTTCTTCGATCGCGAACAATCCAGTTAGTACACCATTTAAAACATACCTTCAGATTGCTTTGTTTTTCTTAATCCGGAGATATAGCAAAATGGCGCACAAGGTGATACTGTGCTCCAGGTTTAAGCTATGATTATGGCTGCTTAAAATGCTTCCCTTTCGCCGCTTAAAAACTATATATTCAAGGAGATGCTTTGGCTAATTTATGGCCGCCACAATAATTTAAGAGCTTCCATTTTTATTTAACAGTTGAGTTGTAAATAATTTAATTGCTGTCTCAAATTTCGCTTTAAGCATTGTTTTGTGTTTTATATTAAATGCATAAAAGGACAACTGAAGAGGCTAGGTCGATCGCTCTCAGAGCCGAGAAGATATTTAATGAAAGGAAAAGTGCATTACGTTTTCTAGATGTTTTTCAGAAGATACAAAATTTTCAGCATATTTTTAGCACGCACCACATTGTAACTCAGTAAGCAGTCAGTTGGAACATTAACTGAAAAATTTTGATATTTTTTCCTCTGCAAACCAGAAGAAAAGACATTTACAAAAAATTGCGAAGTTTGATTTAA